TAGTTAGAGTAAATATTTTGATTTTATTTAATATTTTTATTTATTCTAAAATGATATGTTCTATATTAGTATGAATCATCATTTTATTGATTGTTATTTTTTATTTAGTTTCATTCTCATTATAGTTAACTAAATTTTCCCTTACGATTAGAAGATTGTTTATTTGAAGTTTTATTCAATTTTATTTTAATGGTGTCGAATTGTTGGTTATTCTTTTAATTTGAAGTTATCTAGAAAAAATAGTTGTTTTGTATGAAAAATGATGTCACGATAATATTACAATGTTTCACTTAACAATTAACTTTTCAGAAATCTATAGAAAAACTTGTGTAAATTCCAACACAAACTTTATTTGATTTTAACATATTTTTAGACAATCATTTACATAATTCTGATCAATACTTAAAAAATGTTTATAATATGTTTTGCATATTGATTTGTATTTTATGTGTATTAACTCGTATATCAAGCTATGTGACTAATGTTCTTTCTATATAAAATAAAGTTTGAGAATTTATTATGATCTTCTTTTTCTAAATATCATAAACAAAACTAAAGAAGTATGACATACATTAGTAAATATATTTCACTTCTTAAAGATACATCTCCAAAACGTTAGTAACTTGAATCACCAGATTCTATTTCGAATATTTTATCAAGTTTGATTTTCTGTTAACAGGGTTTTTCTGATAGTATTTTATTAACATCTATCATAAATTTTTGGAGATGATAGATGCTAATAAATTTTAGGATTACACTAAATTTAGGATTACACTAATTTCTTTTTAATTAATTTATAGAGATGTTAATTTATAAATATACTAATTAAACCAAAAACTCAATTTACGACTATAAAATTATATTAATTTATAGAGATATTTTGTATATATTAATTTATCGAGTATTAATTTATAGAGGTTCTGCTGTAGTTTAATTTTTCTTTGTTTATGATCTTACTCTTTGAATAACCTAAGATAGTTCTAAATTAACGTTGGAGTTAACAAAATAAATTAAAAACAAATGTTAAAAGAAAATATAATGTAACTTTTAATATTTTTTATTAGTATTACTTTTTATATTCTAAATTAGCCGAGTAGTTACTAACTGTGGAACAGCTCTTGTTCTATTTATTTGAACAGCTAACAAATGTTAAATGAAACAAATGTTAGCTTTATGATATACTATGGTTCGGTCCGCGCTATGCATATGATGCATATGTGATATAACTTTTTACTGCTTATGATATCAATTACTGTGTTTGTTTTGTATGGTTAGCTGACTGTTTTTTATATTGTTTGGTATTATCTGAAACATAATTTTGGAAATTGTAATCAACCAATGTTTTTGTTGTTTTCTTAATAATTTGTCGAATTCGAAAGGAAGCTGTAGATATTTGACATGTTGTCAGCATCGTCGGGATCATAGTTTGTGTCACCGTTTATGTGACCATGGTCGCTATTGCTTGGCTCGCCGTTACCAGCTTTAACTCTTTTGGATGTTTCCTTAACCATGTCTTAAATTTAATTCATTATTGTTTCTATGTTAAAATGTTCTATGAGTTTTAAAAATGATGGTCTAAAAATATGGTGAAGCAACAGGGTAAGTGAAAAATCATGGACTGCTATGTCTTTAATGGTTTTAGTTTTAATGAGATAGTTAATCAATTTAGTCTACATTAAAATGTATTAAATCGACCTTCATTGTAACTGCAAGAGGTAGTTAAGTGTCACAAAATTGAGCGATACGCAAGAGATGTAGTCTTGTGTGATCAACGTTGTGTCGAATCATAGTGCGATTAGGTTATTATTTATTATTGATGTTATTGGATGTTCATGTTAATTAATTATTGATGGCATACATATTTTTCCTCATATACTGTGACAGCCATTTTAATTTAATAAACTATGCATACTATTGTGCTGAAATTTTTTTAAAAGAATAATTCTATGAAGGTTATTGAGTTATTTACTGGGATTTTCCACTGTAACTATAATTGCGTTTTTGAGTCCTTAATAGACTATGCTCTAATACTATATATTCAACATAGAAAATTTCAACATTCCTTTGGGGACAACAGAAATAGATCGTGTATGCTTAGAGAATGAATAGTATTTGGTCTAGACCACTACGAAAGCATAACAATAGTATTTGGTCGAGCCATTCACTATGAAAGCATAACAAACTAAATAGTTGTAGTCGTACACGTATTTATAATCGTTGATTGAGAAAGGTTATATCTGCAAACGCTCATATCTTATCATAAGCACAATTAATCACATAGTTTTCTGTTTTTCAATGCGTAGTCATGACTTTCGCATCAAGTCTATATGTTATTGTAATTCAGCTGGATAACTTTTAATTTGAGTAAGATAATATGTGAGTGTTTCAAAAAAAGAGTAAGATAATATATGCTGAGCAGGTAAAGCTAAAGGTTAAATATAATATGTTGTGAGGATGATCATAAAATCCAAGAAAACATTGAATTAAAAAACATACCAAACTCCATAAGAGGACATATTTTAAAGAAAACCAACGTTGATGCATACATTATTGAAATAGCAAGTACTCAATCCACTTCTAAGCCCTCATCTTAACCTTTTCCTTAGATGGCTTCTTGACCACCTTTGAAGAATTTTATGCTTGAGATTTCTTGATGGCGACACCACTTGGAGATGTTCCTGCAGTGGATGTTTGAAAATATTTAAGAAGTAAAAGTTGACTGTAAAACCTGAGGCTCGAAAATGATGCCGAACTCAGCTGTAGTAAGAGGCTCAACCTTTGAATAACTTCTCAGCAATGAAGGAACATGGGTGTTCCCAGTGTCTTTGGAAACCAGCCTGTAGTGTTAGAGAGCATTACGTGAGAGTTCATTACGGATGTAATAATTTATGAATCATCAAACACTTACTCCTAAAATCGAATTGCCCCTGCATAAGTTTCCTTGTCCAAAATTACGTGTCCGAGGTGGCATTCAACGGCTAACGGCCTGCAAAAAAATATTCCATGTGTGTTTCAAGAATATTAGGCTCATCACATTGACGAAGTAAATTTTAAAATTAGTATAAATGACAGTATGCATTATGTGATTTTAATTCCAAACAAAAGATATACCTCCAACATCTTTGGGTATATACTACTTGTAACAGCACCCCTTGGATCTCCCCGGAATCCTTCAAATTTCTTATAAAAAGAGGCAACTTGTGAGTCAAACAGACTCAAAGTGACATGTATTACTGTGAAAATTAAGAGAGAACATAAATGGCCAATGTAAATTCAAAAGAAAAGTAAGATAATTTATGAAAATATTGAATAGATTCATATATAGAAGAGAGTTACCTGTCAATCTTGGTAGTCGCCATAACTATGGTGAGAGGGACCAGTCTGGAGATGGTCTCTTAAAGTGGCTAGCCGGTAAACATTCATGGTGGTGGCATGAGGATTGCCTGTAACGAATGTGAAAAGAGATCTTTAACAGAAAATGTTAAAAAAAAACAAAAAATAGGTTCTATGAAAATCTAAATCGGCTTTCAAATCACCAAGAAAAAACGTTCAAAGTTTGGCTTTGAGGAAGAGCATCTCAACTCTCATTAACTCGCCACCGAGTTTTAAGTTTCTGAGTTCCCAGAATTGGAGTAACCGTACCTAGACGGTGGAAAAGCAATAATCAGCTTTCAAATCACCAAGAAAAAACAGATGAGTTAACCATGAATGGGGATTTCTTAGTTTCTGGAGAATTACAAAACTAAGAGACTGCCGTTCAAGGGTAGAAGGCGTACCCATTTTATAGGTGTAGAAAACCGCCTTGTAGTTGGATTAATATCATTGAATGAGATGGTTAATGTACAAACGCCGTGAATATCTAGAAACTGGATCGACTGACGGTGAGCAATAACTCAGATCTCCATGACGGCTAAAAAACCTAATTTTGCGAAGGAATTGTTTACACGGGACTTTACAGAAACGTAAGAATAAACTTAGTTTGGGCCAAAATTTGAACGAAGCCCAAAAGAATGAAAAATTGCAAAGCGCATCGTTTTATTAATGAAGTCCACGTGTCACGCCCAGAGTCAACTAATATCTGACGTGGCACTCTAATGAGGGAATCAACTTTCCTTTATATATATAGATTAGAAGATTGTCGATTCACATTTATACATATTTTTAAAAAATAGAAAAGATCCAAAAAATAAAATTGATTTTCACTCCAATATTTTGTTTTCAAAATAGCAAAATACTATCTGTTCCTATAAATATATGTCAATCATTTATTTATATTTTAAGTAAGATCTTTTTCCAATATTAGAAAACTACATTAGAGTGAAATGCTTTTTAATTATCTATTTTTGAAATAGGATTGCGATGTTCTCTGATCAAATTTAATGAAAATGTATTGCTTTGCTTTGTTTGTTGTAGACTTGTCGACTGCCAGACAGTCATGCTAGAGATCTCTGTTGCGTAATATTCCTTTTGTTTCAATATAAATGATGTTTTAGATGATTGTTGTTGTTTCTATAGATAGAAACTTTCATATGTTGATAAAAAAAAAAAAAAAAAACTTTCATATGTTTATGTAATTTTAATTTTATCAAAAATTGTGTAATAAATTATATTTTCTATTTTTATTTGTAATTAAATAAATTAGTAGTAAATTCTATTTTAATATACTTTTAAATAAAAGTATTTTTTTAATATGTGTATAAAGAGCCCCAAACCTTCATCTATTAATAAATGGAGGGGTATGAGTTTGCCACAAGTGTTTTGTTTTGTTTTGTTTAGTAACAGATGTATCGGGCTCCAAAGCGACAATAATCTGTAACAACTTTTGGCCCATGGGCCTATAAAAACGTTTCTCTATTAAAAAACAGTAACAACAACAGAATGAGTTTGGTAAGAGAAGGAAGACGAAAAAAGGATGCAGACAAGACATAATGGCATTGTCGTGTAATAAAGCAACCTACGAAGGACATTGAAATGTCACTTTGCTAAACATATCACATCATCACGCTGCAGAATTTTCTGAATTTGCTCGTTTTCTTTCTTCATCTTTTCTCGTCCTTACCTTTTTTTTTTCTTCCCTCCATAAATACCTACCTATAGACAATTCACTCTGTTATCATCGAAAATTTCTATTTATTTTTTCTCTCGTTTTATTCCCTCTATAATAATCTTGTCCCCATTGTTATCAAGAAAGGGAAAATAAAGCAATATGGCTATGTCTATGGATCGGATCGCTTTTACCTCATCTCCATCCCTTTATCAACGTTCTTCTGTTCATCCTCATGGCTACAGATCTTCCAGAGTTTTCATGTCTTCTACCATTCGTCCCACCTCTACGTTAGTTTTCTCTCTTCATTTTCAATCTTTTCATCTCTGTTTTTCTTCATGATTAACAATGGATCTATATATACTCTCTGTTTCTGTCATGTTTGTTTTCAAGAAAATGCAGATCATTTCGTTTTGTACATATATAAAACGCTTGTGTGCTCTGCTCCCAACGTATCTATGGACAGATAAAACACATTTTAATTAGTAATTTACTTTGAATTCGATTTGGTTCCTGTGGACATGTTTGGTCACCAAACCAAAAAACAATCTCTTTTGCATTTTCTTCTACAAATTCAATTGATTTGTTTCTGTTTAGGGTGTGATCTCTCTTACGTTATTCATAACTATGAAACATGCCATATGCATGCATGGATTTGATTTTTCCCTTTAATTTCTACTTTTTTTTTATAAAATTATCATTTAAATTTGGGTTGTTGGCCTATCAGGCTACAATCTTGTTGTTCAATGTCTTGTTATTTTTAATGCATTTTTAATATCATTTAATCATCTATGTTTATGCATGTGTTATATATGCAATTTAGTTGGTCAAGTTAGGTCTGAAAATGTTCTTGTGTTGCTTGTTATTTGTTTTGGTTAGAACATCTGTAATTTACAGAACGCCTGTCTTGTACTACTATTGCTCCCACATCTTTCTTATATTGATTGAGTCACGCATCAATGTCTTTTTATTTTGCTTTCAACAACTGATTATTCTCGTGTTGGAAGATCTTCTTGTTTTAGAAAAGACTGTTAACTTGTTTGCAAATTAGTTACCTACAGAACACGCAACTGTATAATCTTGCTGAACAACTTTCTAGCAATTTTGAGAATCTCCTTTGATGGATTTGCAGAGAGGTTACTAATGGAAGGAAGCCGTATATCCCTCCTCGAGAGGTGCATCTTCAAGTGAAATACTCAATGCCACCACAAAAGCTTGAGATCTTCAAGTCCTTAGAAGGATGGGCTAATGACAACTTGTTGCCTTACCTTAAACCTGTGGAAAAATCATGGCAGCCAACAGATTTCCTCCCTGAAGCTGATTCAGAAGGGTTCTATGATCAAGTGAAGGAGTTAAGAGAGAGGTGTAAGGAGCTTTCTGATGACTACTTTGTAGTGCTTATTGGTGATATGATCACAGAGGAAGCACTTCCTACTTATCAGACCATGATTAATACATTGGATGGAGTTAGAGATGAGACTGGAGCAAGTCCTACTCCTTGGGCAGTGTGGACAAGGGCCTGGACTGCTGAAGAGAATAGACATGGTGATCTTCTTAACAAGTATCTTTACCTCTCTGGAAGAGTAGATATGAGGCAGATTGAAAAGACTATTCAGTATCTGATTGGTTCTGGAATGGTAAGCTTCTTATAATAATACAACATGTTTACTTTTATGTTCTGCTATAGTCTCTAAGCTGCCTTGATTTGTTTTGTTTGGTTCTTTAGGATCCAAAGACTGAAAACAACCCTTACTTGGGTTTCATCTACACATCTTTTCAAGAGAGAGCTACATTCATCTCTCATGGAAACACTGCTGGGTTAGCAAAGAAGCTTGGGGACTCTAAACTAGCGCAGATTTGCGGCACTATTGCTGCTGATGAGAAGCGTCATGAGACTGCTTACACCAAGATTGTGGAGAAGCTTTTTGAGATTGATCCTGACACCACTATTGTAGGCTTTGCTGACATGATGAAGAAAAAGATAGCCATGCCTGCTCATCTGATGTATGATGGACGTGATGACAATCTGTTTGAGCATTTCTCCTCCGTGGCACAGAGGCTTGGTGTCTACACTGCTAGGGACTATGCTGATATACTGGAGTTTCTTGTGAGGAGGTGGAACATAGAGAACTTGGCAGACCTTTCTGGTGAAGGACACAAGGCCCAGGTAACAACACCATCTAAAAACCTCTTCTCGTTAGATTGTATTAGAGCTTGTTTTATTGTTGTGACTATTGGCTCATCTTTGATTGCATGGAACAGGACTACCTCTGTGGACTGCCTGCTAGGATCCGCAAACTTGAAGAGAGGGCTCAAGGGAGAGGCAACAAAGAAGCTGCAAGAAACATACCTTTCAGCTGGATTTTCGGTAGAGAGATCAGGGCTTAAAAGAAGTAGTATCATGATGCATAATCTCTCTCTCACCATCACCATGATAAGGAGGTTCAAGAAGCATGTTTGTATTGGAACATATGTTAGATAAAAAGTATGTGTTTCAGATTTTTATTTATTTATTTCATATTCTCTCCATTTGTTCTAGACTTCTAGTATTGTTGTTATCCACAACCACTTCTCTACTGTTTTTTTCTCTCTCAATTCCAACAATTTGTAATTTAAAAGATTGGTTTGCACTGTGTTTTCGCAGAGATTGTTACAAGTATGTGTTTATATATTTATTTATTTCGAATTCTCCATTTGTTCTAAGTATTGTTCTATCAACTTCTCCAATGTTTCCCTATCTCAATTCCAACAATTTGTACTTAAAAAGATTGTGGATTTTCTTTCAAACTTGTTTCCTTTATCTACTTGTGGCCTAGAGATAGTAAAATAAACCGTAAAGAACAGTCCATAGGAAACACATATTATATATAGTCAGTCATTGCCAACAATGACAGATACAACAAACAACAAATAAACAAATCACAATACTTCCGACAGAACACAGATCAAAAACCAACATTTTGATACTGATAATAAAACCTCAACCACACAAAAAGACACTAACTTCTCAAACTTGGAAAGGCCATGGCCAATCCTTAGGATTCTCATCACTCTGAACCTTACCACTCCTCTTCACCGCAACACTCCTATCACCACTCCCCTCAACATAAGCATAATACTTCAAGAAAAAAGCCAGCACAAGCACAACCCAATCAAGACAAAAGATCACAACACAAAGCCCACCACCAAGCTTCAAGATCACAGCAGCGTCTTCCTCCCGGACATAAGACTTGAGACTCCCGAGGAAGTTAGCCGTGTTGGTGAAGATCAAGACAGAGACTGAGCCTTGGAAGATGGCAGTGATCACGGTGGCGACCATGTGAGCCGCGTACCAACGGTTCCTCCCGCAGGAAGCGGCGGTGCAGCCGGAGACGGCGGCGGCGATGGTGGTGGAGTGGAGGAGGATGAGGAGGAAGCCGCAGATTGAGGGGATGAGACGGAGAGAGAGTGTGAGGAAGATGCAGCTTGTGGCGGCGCCGAGGAGGATGTAGTTGGAGAAGAGGAAGATCTTGTGTGTGTAGTAGTGTGAGTCTTCTACTGATGGTGATGAGATCAAACCCATGACTTAAGAGTTTTTTTTTTTTTTTAAAGAAAGTTTGGGTTTTGAGAAATGGGTTTTGTTTCTCTGATGATGATGATGAGTGTGGTGAGGGAAGAGCGTGAGGAGGAGTGTGTTTATGTAGAGAGAACTTGAAACGGTCGAGTTTCTAAATATGACCGTTGTTGAATCTCAGAACGGCTAGTTTTCTAATTTTTTTATTGTTATGATTATTAAGGTGGGCCCCACACGTAAAAAAGACTAAATAAGGTGGGCCCATTAGGCTGTGGACGGGTTTATGTTTATCCGATGTAAGGATAAGGTTTTCTCTATATCCAAACAAGGTTAGGATTTGAATAAGATGGGCCCATTGGGCTGTAGATGGGTTTATGTTTTATCCGAGACAAGGATAAGAGTTTCTCTGTATCCAAACAGGGTCAGGGTCTTTTACCGTCTTCCTCGTCTTCTGATTTGTCGTCGTCGTCTCTCAAAAGCGTCACTCTCTAACTCGGTTTAGCGTTCGTGATATTGCGAAGGTTAGTGAGAAAGAAATTACAATGTCCGGCTCCGATAATCTAAAGGCTCCTCAATCATCGACAGGTGAAAACCCGCTTCTCTGCTCTCGTTCTAAATAATCTTAGGGTTTGGGAGGAGATTAATCCTAGGGTTAGTGAAGAGGAGACTGATAAATTTGTATGAAGAGAAGTTGTTATAAGGACATTATGAGACTAAGAACAGAGCAAAAGCTCATCTTAGGGATAATAAACAAATTAATTAAGGTCATACTGTGTGTAGTCTAGCTTATTAGTTACAAAGAAGAGTATGTTGTTGTATAGCTTTATTACTGGGATTTTAATAATGGTTTTGTTTTTGTAACATGTGGAAATAGACGCTACTGATGTTGGTTGGTATATTCTTGGTGGAAACCAAGAAAGCTTGGGTCCGTATACCTTCTTGGAGCTGTGTGGTAAGTTTTCCATGATATTATACTATCTTGATGTATCTGTACCTGTTTCTGTTATAAGCTATTAAGGCGCTTTTTTTTTTTTTTTTGACTGGGCAGACCATTTCAAGAATGGTTACCTACAGGAAACTACCCTAGTCTGGGCTGAAGGAAGAAGCGAGTGGCAGCCACTTTCTGCCATCACTGAGTTGATGTCAAGGATTTCTGGAGCTGAGGTTGGCTCTTCAGCTGCAGGTAAGATCCCTTTTACAGTCGTTATGGCTAGGTAGTTGATTTCTCGCTTTTTTTGTTTCCTGGATTTATGGCACTTATTATCTGGTATCTGACCAGGTGCATCTGGGTTGGTGAATGGATATAAGGCTACAACCAACCAAGGGAAGCAAGGTAATAATGGTGTCAGTTATTTAGACAGAAAATGAGTACTTCAATATTATGAGTTACAAAGTGAGGGTAGTTCTTACGACATCATGTTATTTCTGCAGCCTCAACTGAGGATGAGTTTGAGAAATGGCAGAGAGAGATTCAAGAAGCAGAAGCGGAGGCTGAAAGGTTGAAAAATGATCAAGACAGACCTTCTTCACCACCCGAGGGGGAAGATGAGTTCACAGATGATGATGGAACTAAATATAAATGGGACAAAGCTCTTAGAGCATGGGCTCCTCAGGTAATGCTTTTTTATATATCAATCGTTCTTTCCATGTTTCTGCTAGTGTAATGGGGATTCAGGGTACCCACCTCTGCTTTCAAGTAGTGATTGGAATCGGTTACATGTGTCATTTTGATTGGTAGGTCGTTGCTATACCTTATCGGAAAGAATGCTCATTTGCTATGATTATCTCTCATATTTTTACTTGCGTTTATCAAGATTGAATATCAGGAATCCTACGAAGTCTACTCGTCAAACTATTTTTATTCTCTTGTTTTGGGTTTTTCATGTAGAGCACTTTAGGAAGAAAAGAATAACATTAATATTTCCAATTGCTGATGCTATTTTGTTGTAGAATGAACCACTGGGTAACGTCGACCCGTATGGACTCGAAGAGATGACCTTTGCTGAGGAAGACGAAGTAATTCCAACTATAGACATCCCTGACACTTCTGTTGATAAGGAGGATGGCTCTAAGGATGATGTGGCTGGTAAGAAAGAAGAAGATGGTCCTGATCAGACTGCGGAAATAAACAATAATGGCAAGAGGAAACTGCCAGAAGAAGAAACTGAAAAGAAGGTATTTGTTTTTGTCTTTCGTCTTTCGTCTTCTTTTCTGTTTCGTTGATCATCGTATCTCTTTCTTAAGGTCATGCATGCTACATTGCCACTTTACTTTTTCGTGATTAAGGAGTATTGACTTTTTTCTTCAGATGCTAAACTGTAGTGGTAATGGATAGCTGCTTTTGACAAATATGTTATTGGACATCCTAGTTATATTTGGACTAGCAAAATACTTTTACTATCATTTCTTCATACTTACTAATAATGGATCAAATAAATATAGTCGCTTTCTTCATGAAAATTTCTGCAAGTATTCTAAGTTTCAAACAATTTCCAGGAACCAAACAAGCCTCCAGAAGAGTGGTTTGAGTTGAAAGTAAACCCACATATCTACGTTACTGGGTTGCCCAAGGATGTCACTATCGAGGAAGTAAGTTGTGGTCATTGCTTTTTCTATTATTATGAATTGGACTAAAAAAAGTAGTGACATCAATTACAGGTCGTTGAAGTTTTTTCTAAATGCGGCATTATTAAGGAGGTAAATCCCACTATCTTGTGATTTTTTGTATGTTATTTTGAAGTCTTGTGTAAGTGTCCCCTAACAATGTAGATCTGGTAAACATCGCAGGATGACAGTGGCAAACCTCGCATAAAGCTTTACAGTGACAAGGCGACAGGAGAATTAAAAGGCGATGCTCTTATCACGTATATGAAGGTAATGATAATACTTGGAAGTTCTTCCCTCTGGGGATTTATAAGGTTCTGATTCTTTGACGTTGTCTCTTCATGTTATCTGTCTTTGTTTTCATTAGGAGCCCTCAGTGGATCTTGCAATTCAAATTTTAGACGGGGCTCCTTTACGTCCAGCTGACAAGCTCATCATGTCAGTTTCTCGAGCTAAGTTTGAGCAGAAAGGTGAACACCGTAGCACTTTAGTTGTATCACTTCTTACTTTTTATGGGTTACATAACAAGTTTCCCTATCCGTGACTTTGTTTTCTACAATATTTTGGCTATGGTTCTTATTGCCTTTTGCTATTTTCACTCAGGGGAGAGATTTATAACGAAACAAACCGACAACAAGAAGAAGAAAAAGCTTAAAAAGGTCGAGCAAAAGTTGCTTGGATGGGGTAAGTTCTCGCTTCTGTGTACTAGAACCCTACCTTTCTATCTACAAAGTCACTTATAGGAAGATGTGAGAAGAGGCTAGAGATTCAGATACATATTATATTACTCCTAAGACTATGCTTTACCAAACTCTATATGGAATTTCTTAGCGAAAGGGCTGTTATTAATAACTTATTAATTCTGGAAGGAAACCTTTTCCACTGACGATCACAAAGCAAAAGGAATGTTTAGAATATCAATCTAGGGTGACAAAGGTTAAAAGGGAACATAGTTGTGTCGATATTCTCTAGTTGTTTGTCTGTTCTTAATTCTGATTAACTTTAATTGATATTAGCATAAAGAAGTGGCCATTTTAGTTCTTGAAGTTGGAGTTTTCTTACTGAATTTATATTTATTGTGGTCGCGCTTGGTCTCTCTTTTCTTGGCATAGGCGGTAGAGATGATGCTAAGATCTCAATACCTGCAACGGTTGTTCTGCGCCACATGTTCAGTCCAGCAGAGATGAGGGTAGGGGCCTTTTCCAATATGTTGATACCATAAAATGTTGCCAGTTTTTAAACACCTGATACATAACTTGAGCGTTTTTGTCTCTACTTGTAGGATGATGAGAGTCTGTGTGCTGAGGTAGAGGAAGACGTGAAAGAAGAGAGTATGAAGCATGGACCATTTGATTCAGTGAAGGTTAATATTTTTTCTATTTTCTCTTGAGCTTGTGGTATTCTAATATGCTAATCTTTGTCGAAAGTTTGAGATTATTTCAGAGTATCAATCAACTGATATTTTTTTTTCTTCTACAGGTCTGTGAGCTTCATCCACAGGGTGTCGTTCTCATAAGATTCAAGGATCGTAAAGATGCTCAGAAATGTATAGATGCAATGAATGGCCGATGGTACAGATTCTCCCGAGTCATTTCCACTTGACTAGAGTTGTTGTTGTATTGGATCTGATTTGTTGATTATGTTTGTGGCTGAATATAGGTATGCAAAGAGACAGATACATGCGAGCCTTGACGATGGATCAGTAAACCACGCTGCTGTTCGTGACTTTGATTTGGAAGCCGAACGGTTAGATCAATTTGCTGCTGAACTCGAAGCTGAATAGAAGAAACAAAATCACCATACTCTAAAAAAGTTCTTTTGTAGAATACCTTATGTTAGTTAACAAGTTTGAGATATAACCTATGTTTTTCATTTTTGTTGATCTCTTTTTATGTTTAGCTAAACAAATACCATATCCCTACTGATACATAAAATTACATGAAAGTTTGCTATCTTGTGGAATGTTAAGTTTCTAAAGCTGAGACAGTTAGGTTTCTGATACAAATCGGTTTAACTAATAAATCCGGTTTATAATTTCACACACCAATGTTTGATCAAGCATCTAAAATTTCCAAAATTTTCATATTTCCCGCAACTAGGAGAAGAAACCGCCATGCTCAAATGTTTTGAAAGAAAAATAAATAAATTTTAATTGTAGGTTAGTTGACAAAAAACTAAATCTAAAGCTAGGTGGGACCACCTCGTGTCTTAACCAATAGAAGCGAGACGTATGTCACGGTGTTCCTTTTTCCGAACCAAATCCCTCAAAATTTTAATCAGAAATCGAACCAAAGATCCAAAGTTCGAAACTTTTTACTTGTTGCAAAATTCCTCTCGAAAAACTTACTAATTTTCTCACTTTTTGGTCGAGTTCGTTGTTTGTTGTGTCTGATCTCTCTGACAACAAAAGAGTTTTAAGTCTTAAAGATTCTGTTTTTAACCGAATTGGGGGTGTTCTGTTGAAGTCTCTGCGAACTAGGGTTTCCGCGAAGACTTTGTTTTGGAGCTGTTGAGCTTTGAATTGGTGAATTATACGGTAATTTGATCTTCCCTTTTGCTCTAAATCTACTTTGATAAGCTTGTGAAGTAGTCGTAGGACCTTTGAGAGTCTCTGCTCCGTGGAAATTTCGAAGCTTTGTTCTCTTGTCGGAAATTGGAAACTTTATAAATTTTCTCTTACATAGTCTGTTTTGGTTCGGCTGTCGGAAGTGAATTTAAGTTTCTGATTAGTTTTTGAAGCTCAATTTGTAAATTCTAACAAGTTGGTTCCTTTTTTTTTGTTGTTGAATTTTTAGGGTTTTTTGTTTTGGTATTTGGGGAGGAATGTTTTATTCGCAGTTTATATTAGCAAAGAAAGGACCACTTGGGACGATATGGATCGCGGCCCATTTGGAGAGGAAGCTTCGAAAGAATCAGGTGGCTGATACTGACATTGGAGTCTCCGTTGGTGAGTTCTTTTCGCTTCTGTTTCCAAATCTTTAGTTTTAGTCTTAGTACTTTGCCCAGATTAGGGTTAGCAGAAGTAAAGTTTCAACTTTTTCTCTGTCGATTAGCTGTATGTTTGGGTCAAGACAAGAGAATTGCTTTATGCTTGACACTATATACGCTTATAGGAGTTGCCCTTGATAGCTCTGAGTATAAGGCCAAAGGAATGACCATAACTTTCTAAGTTTATAGATTTGTTAGATTCACTATTTGGATGGTGGGGCATTGCGTATTACTCTTTCTCTCTGTTATACGTTTCTTGATCGATTTTGTTTTTGTTTGGCAAATTTCTTGCTCAGGATCATTGGAGTGTATGCAGAATTTTCATTTAGTATGCAGTTATTGCTTAAGTCCACAAGTCTCATTATATCAACTGGAGTTCTTATAATCTCAAATTAGTGTACTATACTTTCTATGTAGACAAGTTCACATGCTTTTCGCCTGCTTATATTTGTTTGTTGATCGCAGCCTTTTAAGGCTAAGTCTGTCCCATGCCATGCTGTTGTTTTCTCTTTATACCCCATCAAAGTATTTCTAATCTAACTTTTTAATTTATTTCTGAGCAGATTCTATTCTCTTTCCGGAAGCTCCAATTGCATTGCGATTGTCTAGTCATCTTCTGCTTGGTGTGGTTCGTATTTATTCAAAGAAGGTGAATTACCTCTTTGATGATTGCAGCGAGGCACTGCTTAAGGTGAAGCAAGCTTTTCGCTCTGCTGCGGTTGACCTACCCCCAGAAGAATCCACAGCACCATATCACTCAATCACGCTGCCTGAGACATTTGATCTTGATGATTTTGAGCTCCCTGACAACGAGATCTTTCAGGGGTTAGTTTCTTAATATATTCAAAATTCACACTTGTGTGTTTTCCTATTTAGTCATGCTAATGGTATTTAGAGTCTTGAAGGATGAACTCTGTTTTGTTTTCCTCTGATACTCTTACACATGGATTTTAAATCCTACTCCGGTTTTCACAAGCTTTGTTGATGCATTGCTTCTTGTTTTCTTGTCTTGCAGCAATTACGTTGACCATCATGTTAGTACAAGGGAGCAGATCACACTTCAGGATACCATGGATGGTGTTGTGTTCTCAACCTCGCAATTTGGATTAGACGGTCAGTGAATGTTTCATGCTTACGTGTCTTTAGCTATTGCTAGATGTGCCTTACATAAGAACACTCATTTTTTATACTTTTCCAGAACGATTTGGGGATGGCGACACTGCTCAAACTGCTTTGGAGCTTGACGAGGTATTTTTGCCTTCATGGAACAGAACAAATATAGTTTTCTGCTCATCTAGGGAGTAGGGACAAGAACTAGGATAACCATATTAAAATATGAACAATGCAAAGAATCTTTTGGTTTATTTTGCTTCTAGCCTTTGGGTTCTTTCTCTCAGCTGTTTGGTGAGACCCTGAGGGGAATCCAGTTGTGGAGAGCTTGTATTTTGAAATGTCAGGCTGCATCCATGTTGTAGGTTCAGGGTGATGTTCAATGTTATCTTTTTCTAGTGAAGTTTTTTTAATTTGCATATTTGAAATTAGAACTTTTCTCCCTTCTCATCCCTATATTGTATGCAGGAGGTATTCCAGGATAAGGATATTATTGGATCCGATGATGAGGGCGGTCAAGGGTCAGTTTTTTGTCCTAATCTACACTTTCCTATTTGCTGCTACCCTTTAGTTTCTCTTATTTTTTTTTCACCAAAGTTGTAGATTGATCTTCTTTTCGGAATCTTGTTATCATAAGTTTTAAATGCTTCACATGAGTTGACTGAATGATAAATAAGCCTTGTGTTTTGCTGTTTTATATTCCCACGCTATCTGTAACTTGATTTTGGCGCTGTGACTTAGAACTATATTTTTGGATGTCTTGTTCTTCTTAGATGTGGTCCCTTGGTGTATAATTTAATGTACACATCACCAATCATACTTTTTAACTTGATCCGTGAAATTTTATTTGTTGATGGCAGTGATCGCAATGCATATCTCGATGCAGCAACACCAGAGATAAAGGATGAAATGGTAAATGTTTCTGATGCCATGCCAAGAGATTTCAATCAAGAGCAGGTGCTTACCATTGAAGATATAATGCATGAGGGCATTATTAATAGTTGCTGAATAATTGTTTCCTGATTTTACAGTGCTTTATTTTTTTTTCTTATGAATCTCTCACTTGGATAGGTTGAAGATCTTGCAATGCGTGATGAGTTTATGGAAGATGCTCAAGCTCCTCAAACCCCTGGACTAGTTGAGGTGCTAAACTCATCTAGTGTCAGAGATCAGCTAGCATGCGATGATCACATTGAGGTAGAGGATCCGAATGCAGAAGAAGTTAGAAAGGCCTCTGGAGAGCCGGATGGTAATGAGCCCTCTGAATATACTGCCGTAGAATCAGCAGTTACTCCCATGGAGGTGGATAAGTCGATAAATGAAAATATCGATGCACAAAACGAGCCAGAGGAGGAGAGGGCAGAGCATGTACAGCTTACCTCGCCAAGTGTTTCTCACATCACCACCGAGGTGGAGGATCCTGGTCAAGTAATCACGGAGGCAGGAACCGATGTTGATAATGTTGTAACGGATAAGTCAGATGCTGTTCCTTCAGTTGAGTCTCTTGGAGAGCCTACGATGAGTAATGCTGAGCCAAAAGTTCCTGAAGAAGAAAACCAAGGTTAGTCAAATAAAATGCAAAACATCATAGTTATTGGTCTAACCTAATGCAAAGTGTTATTGCCTGCCTTATTCTTATATTTTTTTAATCGTTTCTGATAGATCATTTTGCCATTACCACTGAGGTCAATCAAGAAACAGATATGCAAGGAGATGTGCAAGGATACAGTAAACCAGATGAGCAGCTGAATAACGCACATGCAATTGATGAACAGACTGATACTGATTTGCCTGCACCTGAGAAGGTATTAGCTGCACCTAACAGTCTGGGGGATGAAAATGGTTGTATGGTTGTTGAATCAACACCAGATAAAGAAGACCCTGGGACATGTAACGGGGATGCAGGAAATAATAACATTACTGGGAAGAAACGCACTTTCACTGAGAGCACATTAACTGCAGAGAGTTTGAACTCTGTTGAGTCAGTTGGACTGATTCAGTCCAAAAGAACTGCAAACTCTGTTCCTGATGACGATGACTTGTTGTCTTCCATCTTAGGTATCCCTTTTGTTGTTGCTATGTCTCTTCTTCTATACATCTATGATCATGTCCTCTCTCTTTTTTTTTTTTTTTTTCAGTTGGAAGGTCATCTTTTTTGAAGATGAGGCCTACCCCTGTGCTTGAAGTAGCATCTCGAAAACGGTTAAAGTCTGCTCCTCGTTCTACTACCACAAAGAGGAAGGTTCTAATGGATGACCCTATGGTCTTGCATGGCGAGTATGTTTACCTAATCTGACTTTCTTTATCTCTGACTTTCTTATGCCATAGCTTTTATTTTATTGCTCCTTGCTTTATCTGCAATGTGAATCTTGATTTTGTTTTTCCCGGTTTTTACTTGTTTTCTTATCTATTCTGATCGTACCTACTTTTTCTATTAAGCCTTATACGGGAACAGCTGACAAACACGGAAGGTATACGCCGTGTGCGTAAGAAGGCACCTTGCACCATTCCTGAAATCTTGATGCTTCAAAGGCAGGCTTTGGAGGATGGACTTTTAAAGGAGCCAATACTCACTGGTAAGTTCACTGTTCTATACAATTTCTCTCTATTGTTCTTGTAAACTGCTGCCACATAGTGAAATATATATATTTTTTAAATGATTTCATCAGGTATGTCAGTGGAGTTAGTATCTCTGCATAATGAGCCGTATGATCTAAGAGGAATCATGGTAATCAAGAACGATGACGACGGACATGCTTCTGTTGGAGTGGTTGAAGTTAATGAATGCTCAGTTAGGGCTGTGGAAGAAAAAGAAACTGAAGAAAGGTCTGCTCCTCATACTCACCTAAATGATTCTGAGGAGCAACCTTCTGAGGCTCATACTCATCAGCCACAGGACCAACAGATCGTAGACCAACATGAAGAAGAGAAAGAAGATAACGAGCTTGGTGAAAATATATGTGACTTGGAAGTTTTAAAGGAAAGCAATGGAGCTGCTGACGAAGCAAATCATGTAGTGAACGAAGAGATCAGTGAAATTCCATCTGAGGACAAACTCGATCATGTAGAGGGTGTCACGGATTTGCAGGTGGAAGGTGACCATGAAAACCATGATGGAGGCCTAGGCGGTCAAGATGTTATAGAAATTGCTGAAGGTGATGTAGATAACAACGCCACTCTCAACGAGACAGAGTTGAAAGTTGAAGATGAACTACCAAATGAAGACAACAAGACGGATGCGGCCTCGGCTGAAGTTATTGAGAGTGGGGTAGACGACCAGACTCCATGCGTTAACACAATTGTAGAAGAAGCTGGTGGTTCTAATAATCTAGCCTCGGACGAAGGTTGCAAGGAACCTCTTGTGGAAGAAAACAATGATGTGGTGATTCCGGAGATTGTCACTGCTGACGACAGATATAATGAGATATTTAATGAGGAGGCTTATATGCAAAGTGCACCAGAAGCAGAACCTACTACTCGCGATGGTTTTATGGGATATAATGATGTAAGTTTCTTTTGTGGCTTTCATATCCTTATTCAAGTAAGGCATGCCTCTAAAAGTCTTCTTTTGCTGTAGGAAATGGATACCATGGAAGTTGCACATGACACAGGTTCTAAACCTTTTCGAGTTTTAATATATGTATCCTTCAGTTTGATGAATGGGACTAACACTCTGTTTTAACAAGCTGAAACTCTTGAGCATGATTTAGATATGTGAGATGTTCTGCTTATAATTTATCTCACTCTGTCTTCAGGATTTTTGAACGTGGATGATGATGAAGTAGATGAAGATCACGAGGACGATGGTGTGGAAGAGGGTGACGAAGCTCGTCTTCTTGAGAACAGTGGATGGTCTTCTCGTACCAGGTCTGTCGAGTTGATGATTTTTTTTTGTTCTACATTTGATAAGCTTCTATCATGTGAGATACATGATGGTTCTCTTTGCTTATAGGGCTGTGGCGAAGTATCTTCAGACGATATTTGAAAAAGAAGCTGAGAATGGGAAGAATGTTGTTGTAGCAGACAAACTCTTAGCTGGTAAAACCCGTAAAGAAGCTTCCAGAATGTTTTTCGAAACCCTGGTATGTCCACAACACGACCATAAACAAAAACAAAAAATACTCTGATATTTCTCTAGAGAAAACAAATTTAATAAGTTCATGGTCTTAGCTTCAACTCTAGACTAAGTAGTAAATAGTATCAGCCACAACTTGTCTTTTGGTTCTTTTGGTCATATTCTTCATAAACTTGGTTATCTTTGTTTGAATCTGTCTTCTTCTTTCATTTACCAATTTTGCAGGTTTTGAAAACAAGGGATTACGTCCAAGTTGAACAAGCCAAGCCTTACGAAAGCATCATCATAAAACCGCGACCAAAGCTCACCAAATCCATCTTCTAATATGGTGAAGAAGAGTCTCTCATAGTTGCAGATAGGTAGTTTGGTCCAGTCCAAGAACATCATATCCGAAATGATTGTCCCTTCTTCTCTAAAGTCAATACACTTTCCACTCTTTAAGCCAACGAAGTAGTTATAGTATCAGTGGTGACTGGTGTTGTAGCGTTAACCATCATCCAAGTAGCTGGAGGAGGTTAATATGTTTGTCATTTATTTTTATCTTTATACATATGAGTTGTTGTATGTGTGTATATATATTGGTGCCACCATGATCATTGATCACCACCAGTTTATATTTGTGTCATGCTAATTTTATTTCTTTGGATAACTGAAGTTCTCCGGTTTAACTTGGGAATGTCGAAGAACCATTGTTTAATTGAATAATAATAGTTTTATTATAGAGTTAAAATGGAAAATTGTCTAGTAAGAATGCTACTTATAATCAAAGTTTCAAAAAAGCATGCTACTTATTTATCAGATTATTAGCTATAAAGTTTTCGATTTTCTTTATTCATCCTAATTACTTCAAACCAACATCATCTATTCTATTAAAACAGCAGTGTGACCCATTGATATATGTTGTGTCCAACAATTAATATTCGATTAAATATAGAACCCCATATATTTCTAATAACTGCAACGAATAATGGCAACTGCAACTGCTTTAATTCCAGATCATGTATAACTGCCGAGAAAAAAGGAACCTTATATATTTAATACTTATTCTTCCTACGGTTCTAAATATATACACTTAAAGGGCATCTGAACCTTAGTCGTGACTTGTCCTATTGTGTTCATAAACATATAAATTCAATTAATTAGATATTACTAATCTGTTGTTGAAATATATATATATATATATATATATTACAAATCTACATTTTTATAAAACAATTTCCATGTTAGTTTTAATAAAACACTACTTAATCTTAGAAATAAAATTTGCTAGAGTATGTGAAACTAAAAATATATATAACATATTGCAAAAAAAACAAAATAATGGATAAGTTACTAATGGATGTTTTTGAATCGCAATAACTATATCAACACCATGCAAACATATCTATTAGTAAAAACAAAATAAACATTAAAAAAATTTCCCCAAACATATATATCACAAGTAAATATTTATGAAATTTAATTTATTGAATATACTTACAAAAGCATTTCTATTCTAATAATTTTTTAACATAAAAAAATGATTACACAAACACACAAAAATATAATTTTCATTGGGTAACAAAAATTAAAAACAAAAAATAAACCCGCCCTTGGAAAGGGCGGGTCAGTATCTAGTTTTACTCTTAAATTTGCCGATGTCTTTTATTCATCCTAATTATTGGAGATTATGAATAATATTCCTTTAAATTTAAAGAAACACTATTTACTACATCATTTTACGATCAAAGTTTTATTTTATAAAATAATCTTTTAAATTTTGTATAATTTATTTTATTTCTAAAGTATTAATATTTATGTTTTATATTTTACTAAATTGTCAATGCTTATCTTAATACAATTATAAGTACACATAAATTTGAATATTTGATTTGATTTTATATTGGTAACCAAATTTATATATATATATATATATACAATAAATATTTGGTTAAATAAAATCATAGTTGGATAAATTCTTAAGTTAACTTAAACAGTCATCTTCTCTATTAAAAGAGAACCATTTATATCTACTACAAAAAGTCATGTTGGACCATCTCATCAATATAAAATATTTAATTATTTATATTAATCAATCAAATATATATAATTGAAGAAATATTTTAATAATTAGTAAGATATTAGTAATAAATTAGTTGAAAAAATATCTAACAAGATCTTACTATGAAGTTTAAATATTTTTATAAAATATGCATTATTTAATTTCGTGATTAATATATATATAAACTATATTAATGGTAATTAAAAATAAATATTGTTATATTTTATAATTTATTTATATTCTATATTATATTAAAATAAAATGCTATGTGAAATCAATATAAAATATATTAAATTGGTAAAGAAAAATATAATATTTTAAATTTTTTCTTTTATTTAAATAAATAAATAAATATCCCTCACTTTTAAAACATATTAAATTTTTTAAATCATATAATATTTTATACAAAAAATGTTAACATATATTTTTGTAACTCACAATAAATACATTATATAAAAAAGATATATGAATATTTTTTTATTTTAAAACTTACAAAAATATATTATATAAAAATAATTAAAATTATAAGATTATATAATTATACAATATATAACAATAGAATGTAAATCATATATATTTGAAAGGTTTTGTTATATTTTATAAAATGAAAAGATACCCGCACGGATGTGCGGGTTTAAAATCTAGTTGAAATTAATAATAAATATTAACAATTAAACATATTTGGGGCTATTTTTGAGAAATATATGTAAAAGTTATTGAAATAAAACTTGAAACAAATGTGTTAAGAATCATCGAAAAAAACCTTCAGTCTACGCTTTAATATTGAGTCGCGCTTCTAGACTTTGACAATGTTTTAAGTGCAAGTCCAAAACAAAATTTAAGCTGTATATATGTAGGTCTCTGCCATAACCGGTTTGGTGATCCTGCAAAAGAGAGTTGTGGTAATAAATTGAAACAGTGTTTTCTCACTATGTAATTACAAAACACAAAATTGATGATATAGCATCTTTATATAGTTTTATTAAAACTCAAATTATACAATATTTTGGTATTTCGTGAGTCCTATTGGAGTTGCATGCATATGTATATATATAATTTGATTATCCTTCCATTATTTTTTTCTTATTTTGTTTTTATTTTTCTAATTTTTTGCTTGTTTTTTTTTCTTATTTTATTTTTATATTTCTGTTTGTTATTGATAGATTTTAAGGTTATAATAATTTTTGTTACTATGATTCAAAATTTTCATACTTTGCTTTCAACAAAATCAAACTCTTTTTGCTTTTTTTTGTTCTATTGAGTATTCTCAAATTTTTCATAAAAATAATTTTTTTTAATGATATCTTTTTTTTTTTAAATGCGAACCAGAAAACATATAATATTATCTATTTTTATTATTATTTATATATATATATATATGTGTATATATTTATAAAGCAAGGGATATAAAAATATCTTACTTCTTTCATGAAATTTGATCATTTTCTCCATTGAAAGTTTTTATAAGAACTTAAAAAGAAACTATTTTAGAGAATTGCTCAATAAAGAAACTAAAATTTAATATTTTCTAAATATTTTTAAACATGAAATAATATTTTGGATATATATTTTATGTGTAAAAAACATTTATAAAATACTTAACTTTAGTCTTATACTTTTATTTTCATTTTGACAAAAATAGCAAATAGTTTAGATTATTTATTTTTTTTTGTAACAAGTTAAGAGTTATGAGATCTAAAAATATCATGACATAAAATTCATAAATATTTAAATATCTAATGTGAATAATAAATTAAACTTTAAATTCAAAATAAATCAAAAGCAAAACATCATTGTAATAAATTCTCAATAATAAAAATAAAATAACATCAAATCGCATCAATTAATTTTGGTTTTTTCTACCATCTTTCACTTCATTTTCTTTAGATATCATAGTGAAATCTTCATCAAAATTTTAAAATCACCAATATAAAACTGAAAATTGAAAAATTAACTTCTTAATTGAAAATTTAGAACAAGACATAATCTAAAATATAATTAAAAACTAAAAAAAGTAAAAAATATCTATTGGTTTAATTGGTGGTTTAACCAGTATCGGATTTTGGATTTTATTAAATTTTGTTAGGTTTTTATGAATTTTTAAATTTCAAGTTTTTCATAAAAGTAAAACTGATTTTTTTTCTAAATCATCTGGTTTACTGGTTCAACCACGGGTTTAGATCGGTTGAACCACGGGTTCAGATCGGATTTCAAATCACTGGGTGTAACTGTAGCCACCCACTTTAGCATAATTTTGCATTTTTGCATTATTTTCTCTTTTTTGATAGTATAATAATTATAATTGATAGACTCATTTATATATGCATAATATAAACAGAAACAAAGTAATATAATTATCACACGGTTCATAATTTTCAGAAACTTATAATTCAGCTAAATAAAATAAAATAAAAATTAAGCATTCGAAGGGCCTCACGATAATCTCTGTAATTTTTTATTCCACAAACAAAAGTAAGATTCACACGTCTTTCCATTTTGGCGTAATATCTTTCTCCTTTCTAAAATCATATCTTGACAACAACTTGCTACAATCAAAATTGAAAACTCATTCGCAAAGACCAATTAAGATGAATACACAGAGGACAATATGAAACATCATAATATAAGTTTATCATGCATACTAATAATGGACACATCCAACCACTAGAGAAAGATATAACAGCTCACTCAGACTGAAGAACAGTAAGGTGATAAGGATAGCCTTGGCATGTCCCTGATGATGTTGATGATGATGATGCGTTTTCATGCTCGGCAAGCTCCCAGACAAGTGTATATGAAGAGAGACTGTAGGTACCTGGAGAGAAAACCGATATCTGCAGGGGAATCTCGGTTGTCGACAATGGCTGGATTTGGATCTTTGTGGAACTTAAACCTGACCATATGAAAGGAGGCGAGCTTTCCATGGAAGGTGGTGGTTTCCCCAGGCGGCTTCCCATGACATCTGAAGTTAGTTTCATTTCCTCTGTTATGGCTGGCACGTGGCGCCACCCGGATTGGTTTCCAGAGGATGGTGTTGGTGCTGCTGCATCTGGTAGGCCATCGATGGAGTTGATGCTCACAGATAAAAATCCATCAGATGTGTTTCTGATTACCATCTTTAGTTTAACTTCGCACAAGGAGGTGGAAAAATCGTGGTTTATGGTTTTGGGACCGTCTAGTGACCATGAGAGCGGGATTGAGCTTCTGATTCTGTAATTAAACATCAATGTGATTTACAAGTAGGGAAAAAGTAGTTTTGAAAGCTGAAGAAAGATACTCTTACCTATTGTGACATGAATGGTGTGACAGAATCTTTGGTATATCTGGCACTGCTGATAGATTGCTGGATTTTGCTAGGCGAGAGACTAGAATGAAGTCAACGGTATTTGGACTTAACTGTTTCATCATACAAACACGAGTTTTTATGATGTTATGTTTAGGAGAGTAACATACGCTGAAAGTGGCTTACCTGATCTGAGGTTCCGTGACATGACCTTTCATTTTCATGGAAGCTTGCTAAAGGTGAGTTAACGATATCAAAAAGCTTTTCATCGTCATCCTGTGAAATCAGTTTAATGTCGGTTTGGCTGGGAGGAATAGACATGGGTTTTTCTTCTTCAGTCCCGGATTTTCTGCAATCCTGAAAAAAACAAGATTCTAATTTCAGACTTGGAAAAGAGATTTGACAAACTAGCTACTA